AGCCTTGAGCAGAAAAGCTTAGGGACAGATCTCAGGCCCTGAGTTGAAGCACCAGGACTGGCACACAATACCAAACAAAAAAACAATGTTTTATATCCTCGTAATTCATTATAGTTACATAGTAAACAATCAGTAAATATTTATTGGCACACATACACATATACGTGTACCTGTATCTCTCTATCCATCAGTTTAGTTTTTTCCTTAAAATTGCATGATTGGTTGCTCTAAGCAAATATCTTTAAAATATTCCAGACTTCCATTTTTCTTCCCATAATGAATAATTTTTGTAGTATGAAATTTTTTAAGTTGATACTTAATGTCTCAACAAAAATTGTCAAAAAATGTCAAGAAAGAGGACAGTTTTGTCCAGTGCTAGTGGCTTACCCCTGTAATCCTAGCTACTCAAGAAGCAAAGATCTGAGGATCGTGGTTTGAAGCCAGCTGAGGCAGGTAAATCCCAGAGACTCTCCAATTAACCAGTAAAGAGTTTGAAGTGGAACACCAGCCTTGAGTGCAATGGCCTGGTATTGTCATAAACATCAAAAACAGACAGTTTTAATGTGTCCTAATTCTTGAAAGTCATGGTGGTCTGAAGTAATATGCTTAAACAGATAGGAAAGAATACCATAATTTTAATTATATACTTATATATATAGGTTTAATTGTGCATTAACACCTCCATAATGTTTTTTTTTGGGGGGGGGGGTCCGGTCGTGGGGCCTGAGCTCTGGGCCTGGGCGCTGTCCCTCAACTCTTCAGCTCAAGGCTAGCGCTCTACCACTTGAGCTACAGCGCCACTTCTGGCTTTTTTCTTTTTTCTTATGTGGTGCTGAGGAACCAAACCCAGGGCCTCGAGCATGCAAGGCAAGCGCTCTGAGCTACCTTCCCAGCTCTCTGTAATGTTTTAATTGAGTTTTTAACAACCCCTTTCTTTGTAGTCTTACATTATTTACTTGATTAGCTTACTCATTTTTAGTTATCAAAAGCTATATTTTTTGCTCCTTTTATGATTCATTCATTCTGTATTGAACAGCAAAGCAGTGCTTTAATAATTTATATTATCATTGAATAGAATTAAAAGGCATGAAATGTTTTGCATAGTGAAATTCAAACAAAGTTTGTAATCACCTAAATGAATTTTTCCTTAGTGTATATAAATGCTTTGTATAAGTTAAAAATTGACCTTTTTTTTTGAGCTGTCCCTGAGCTTTTTTGCTTAAGGCCATTTGGAGCCACATCTCCACTTCTGCTTTTTGGTGGCAAATTGGAGACGAGAGTCTCACAGACTTTCCTGCTCCAGCTGGCTTCACACCATGATCTTCAGATCTCAACCTCCTAAGTGGCACCAGTCTTGAAGTTAACTCTGCTATGAATTTTTTATTTTATTTATTTATTTTTTTTGGTGGTTGTTGGTTGTGGGGCTTGAACTCAGGGCCTGGGCACTATCCCTGAGCCTCTTTGTGCTCAAGGCTAGCCCTCCACCACTTGAGCCACAGTGTGGTTAATTGGAGATAATTGGGGACTTTTCTGCCTGATCTGGCTTTGATCCATGATCCTCAAATCTTAGCCTCCTGAGTAGCTAGGATTACAGGCTTGAGCAACCAGCACTCAGATTTGTGTTCATCCTTTTATAAGAAAAGGGAAAATAAATGTTTTTGATACAAAAGTCTTAAAAACTCTAGAATTTGATGGTTATAACTCACAGGCTAGAATACATCTCTAGATAAGTTACTGTAGAAGGAAAAGTTCACACTGCCCTAGGAAACAGGTTGCAGAGTTTCAGCTGATCTTTCAGATTAGTGTTTTAAGTAAACATGGAAGACAGTGAAAGAGTATAGATGACCTGGTGCAAGAGCATTGCCACTATGGAAAATTGAAATCAACATGATTTACTGCTTAGGGGGTCCATGTTTTAGTATACAAAAGACAGCATTTATTGCAAAGCTGTTGGTAATAATATATTTATAACATGACTTGGGATGTCAGAGAAGGCATCAATTTAGGTAACAGAGACCCAGGAACAATTTTGAAAGAGGAAAATTGTGATTTTTTATAGATATTGTTTGGTAACACTTTAAGGTACAAATAGATAAAACCATTTCTAAATTACTTGGTTTGTGCTTGACCTTGGATGGAGCAGTCTTAATAATTGCAGAGGCATTCTGGTGACTTCTCCCATAAAATATCTGATTATCTGTTTGAGAAAAAGAAAATGTAAGCTTATAACCTGTTTATTTTATATAGTAAACATGCATTCATATTGGGGGGGAAAAGCTTGGTTTGGTGACCCTGATAATGATTGTAAATTTTTTCCTACTTAATATACATCTTAAGCGTTTAATGCATAAGCACAGATAATTTTTTAAATTTGTTTTCAGAAACAGTACCATGCCATTCTAAAACAAAATGCATTGACTGGATTGATGGGTATTTTGGTGTGCTGTTAATACCAAAGCGGCAGTGTGAGCAGCAGAGGAGGAACGCACCCGATGTCTGGTCTGGTTCTGCCATTCAGGGCTTTGTGGTCTTGAGCAAGCCACTCCAGCTGTCTTGTCTTGGCCTCTACTTCTTTAGCTATAAAGCATAGATTTCTCCAGCTGAAGATTCTGATAATGTCCATTTAAGAATTGGGATCAGTTTTGAAAATACTTTTTTTTTCCATACTATAAATTATAGGGTAAATCATCTTACTAAGTTTATATTTTTGTTATTGTTCCGATCTCTATCCCACTTTTGTACCCAAGAATAATGAGCTATGAATTCTTTTATTCACATTATATAGTTTTATAGTGAGAAGCAGATACAGAGTGTATTGCTGCAAGTGCTGCCAGAGGTCTTCTGAGGACACCATTTTTACAGTGTTCCCCAGGACTTAATGTAAAACTCTTCATGCGCAATGAGGAGATGGTTGGTCTAGTTTATGTACCCATTGTTTTGCTGTTCTTTACTTAAGGACTTTTCTAAAAAAAAAAAAAGTGAAATGCATCTTAAATTATGTGACCACTTCTTATGGCAGTATTTAGACTTTTCTAGGATAAATTAGGTTGTATGTATTTATTTTAGACAAATATGTTATTTGAGATGTTTCAAGAGAAGGACCTGACTTGTAAAACTTGCCTAAACTTTAACAAAGAATTTCTCTTCTTTAGCTTTCCTTTTCTTATTTCTCCAAATTTCTTTAACTTAGTGCCTGTTAGATAAACATACTTTGAGGAAATAAGTCCAGATTCTTTTGTTTTATTTTTCTTATGAGGATGGAGCTCAGGACCTTGCATATGCTAGGCAAGTGCTCTGTCACTATCACTGTATTGCTATGATAGCAGACTTCTGTGATGATTTTGTGTAGGCCTCTCCTTGCCTGTAGGTGTTTGCCTCTGCCCCCACTGCCCACTGTTGAGTTTTTGTCAGGCTGTTTAGGGGATGTATAGTATTGGTTCTAATATGTAAGTTATGCAGCACATAATCATCCATGATTTACATTGGAGAAAGACCTGTAGTATACTGTAGTGCTTTGGGGGTGGGGGGAGTCTAATCTTGAATTTAATGTTATACACTGTTTATCAACTCAAGTTGACTGAATAGTCCTGTTTTTCTGGTTATCTAAAATTTATGCCTTAGTTACTGGACCACATGGTATGTATAGCTGGACATTTTTGGAAATGTGGAAATACTTTCACTGAATTTTTTCTTACCATTTCCCATTTTAGATTGAGGGAGATAATAAGAAATAGTCATTAGACCCAGTTTCTGTTTATGTAAGGATGCTTTTGAAGTCTTTATTACACTATAGATATCCCATGAAGACCCACAAGATAAACTTCTGGCTTTCATGATCAGAAGCATTGTATTTCTTTTGAACAACTTCTTATTTTTTTTAAGATTATAGATAATGTAAATATGGAAACTTACCATGTTTTTCCTTGTTCGCGTCATTTTCCCAAAAATTTCATGTCATATATTTGGCTCATTTTTGACAAATACTGAGAGTTTTACTCTAGCTCCCTTTTAACTTAAGGCTTTGGATATAGTTCCGAAATTAAGAACACAGGCCCTGGCCAGGTACCAGTGGAGGCTGAGATCTGAGGATTGTACTTCAAGGTCATCCCAGGCAGAAACATTTGCTGGACATTATGTTCAAAAAGCAAAAAGTTTGGCTGGTGGGCTAAGTGGTAGAACACCAGCTAAGCAAGTACAATGCCATAAAACCAAACCCAGTTTGGCAAAAAAAAAAAAAGAGAGAGAACACAAGCACTGGAATCAAATAGCCTGGGTTCCCATCTTGCCTCCATCTCCTATTGGCTATGTTGAAATTTGTCATGTTGCTTAGTTTCTATGAGACTCAGTTTCCCTGTTTGCAAAATGGAGTTAATAGTACCCTTAGGGTTGTGAAGATGAGATTGACGGGTAAGCACTGGAAGCAGTTCTTGGCTCCTCTTGATTTTCTTTTCTACTTTCATATTCCATTTGTTTCATTTTCTCTGTCTACTTTCAAAAATAATTTTATATTATATACTTCATGTAATCTACCTAAAATATTTCTTGGAACAAATCAGAGTAAGAATACATAAGTGTTGGTTTCTTGGCACATTGTATTTTACATAAAGTATAGCAATTAAAATATTCACAGTGGCTTTGACATAACTCTGAAATTACAGGGATTTGGGTACTTAACTTTCATTCTCTTTCCTTTTCAGCTCAAACACCCATCAGCGAACACATTTTCTGTATTTGTATAAGTGTGACAGAGGTTTTCTTAAGACACATTTTAATATAAGCTTTTAAGTTAAAAGTTTCACTATCATTTGAAATCTTTCTCAGGACTAGAGCAATGCATTCATTTAGAACTTTTAATTTAAGTAAATAAGAGCCAGACTTTTATTTGCAGTCAGGTCAGTTGAAGACATTTACAAAGAATTAGTTGTTTGTTATTGCTATGTGAGTTGCAAGAATGGAACATAAAAAAAAAAAGAAATTCTTTCTTCAATACTTCCTTCCAGGCTGACTCATCACTAGAGAGCGGGAAGGGCAGCAGCAGAGAATTCAAACCCTAAAGCTGATTTCTCCTCGCTGGGGCTCAGAGGGGAGCCATCATGAGCGATGTTACCATTGTGAAAGAAGGTTGGGTTCAGAAGAGGGGTAAGTGTTCAAGAAAACTGAAAATAATGTTGGTAAGAGTGCTGAACAGTGAGTGGTTGGTGTCTTTGATATTTTTTCTGGTACTGTTAAAGTGAACCATGATACAGGAGAGAAATGATATTTAATATGTATACTAAGGATTTTCTTATTTAGGAATTTCTTTGTATTTCAAAGTTACAGTAATCTATAATCTAGTTATGAAGTTAGATTTGACTTTCTGGTATGTTGTGTCCATGCATGTTACTGCTATATTTTTTGTTGTATCCACAGATTCTATAATTCAGAGGGATCTCTTGAGAATCATTTAACATCTAGAAAAAGTCACTTGTGTATATTAATATAATAAATATGTAAATAAAAGTATTCATTTAAGGTAGTTTGGATGGTAGGTGACAAAGGACTTGGAATAGTAAAGGGGGAAGGCTTACCTACAAAACCTATAAATTACCATAAATTAGGTAAGTGAAATTCTGATGTAAAAGGCCAAGTAAGGATCAGGAGAGAGAGAGAGAGAGTGTGTGTGTGATTTTTGTATTTTAATTTTTCATTATACAATTTTAATATTTGTGTTCATATTACTTTACATAAATAAGCAAATATTTTTATTAAGAAAGAACTCTTCACTATAAAATTTAGTTGATAATCTGTTAGGGTATTTGCTTACATGCTCAATGTGTAGAATGTAGAGTTTGGAATCGTTGCTAAGCAACCACTGTTTACTCATGAGGCCAAGGTATAGGATGAGAATTGATCTAGTCTCAGAACATTTTAGATTCTGTGTGTCTATCTTCTGGTTAAAAGTTACCTCTTAAATGTGATTTTTATATTCTTTAAGGGTCTATAGTTAATATTTACCCTGAAAACTTATTAGTAAATTAAATACATGTATGCATTACTGAGCAAATCAGTCTTATTGAGTTACAATTTTCATACATCAAAACTAATTTTGTTTTTTTAAATGAATTGTGTGATGTGTTTACAGTGGAGTCAGACATTACAGTCATAATGCAGAATATTTTCATCACTCCAAAAAGTTCTTTCCTGCCCTTTTAGTCCAGTTCTTGTCCTTCAGTCTCTAGAAACCACTAATGTGCTTTCTTCTACTCTTAATTTTCCTTTTCTAGAATTTCAGTTAAATCCATAGTTGTTTCTGGTCCAGTTTTTTTTTTTTTTGGCCACAGCATAGTGATCTCCCTCATTTGTAAGAACTAGATTATGTATATGATATTCTTAACAGGGAACCTCAATTACCTAACTGCTTAGTGCATAGGACCATATATAATGAAATGTATCAGCATGAACTCCAATATATGGAAACAAGGTGGTTTTTATTAGACCCTGTATGTAGTTTTCTATTGTTTTTTTCTTCAGTTGTCTTAGTTTTTTGTACCTCATGTTTTGCATATAAGATTATGCAATATGTGGAAAGGAAAGGGAATCACAGAAATAGCAGGACAATGGATGAATCAAAGCAACATTGATACTCACCTGACACTTTGTGGGCTATGAACATTACAACTTGTCGGGGGGAAGGGAACAGGGTGGGGTAAGTGGGAGACAATGAGGGATGGGGTAACAATGATTAAAAACAAATGTACTCATTGCTTTACTTATGTAACTGTAAATCTGCCCCCCATCACCTTTTCAATAAAACAATTTTTAAAAATTGATTCAGGTTGTATAGATAATTACTTTATTACTTTTTTTTCTCATTGAGTAGAATTCCCAGGTCTGGATATATCACTATTTATTTTTTAACAGTTGTTGGACATTTGGGCTGCTTCTAGTTTTCAAATTGTTAAAGTTTCTCTGAACATCGAGTACATGTCTGAATAGTATGTTTTTGGCTAACAGTCTAGGAATGAGGTCGGGTTTTATGAGAAGTGTACATTTAACTTTATAATAAGTATTTGTTTAACTTCATAATAACTGCAGTGACTGTATTAAGATTTGTTTTCATGTTAATTTGGAAAATACTTTCAGATTTCAATTCTTGATGAAAGGGTTTTTTTTTTGCTTCTTTCTGAGCTTGTGTATTTTGCTTCTTTAGTTTTCTTAGTTTGTTTTATATAGCTAGAGGTAAAATTTGCTATGAAGATACTTAGTTAAAAAAGCAGGAAATTTCACCCGTTTCAAGTTCTAAATTACAGAATTCAGTGAATTGCAATAATATGAAAGGTTTATATTAATTTACAAAACCTTATTTGCTTAGTATTTTTCTTTTTAAAACCTAAATGTACTAGTCTGGTTTTTTATATCATAATAAAATACTTGAAAGAAGCTACTTTATAAAGAAAACTATTTTCAGCTTACTGTTTTGGAGATTCAAGGGATGGCACCTGTGTGATGCCATCCAGTTCTGATGAAGGTCGCCTGGCAGGTGGCATATGGCACAAGCCATCACCGAGGCCAGGATTACCTCTTTCATAATAATCCTCTTGTGAGAACTAAAAGACTTCTATGAGAACTATCTTCCAAGATATGTCCCAGAAGCTTTGTGACCTCCCCGCAGTGCCATCCTGGGCACTAAGGACTCTGCAGTGACTCGCCACTCCCAAACCATAGCACTGAGAAACATCTTACAATGTGATGAGTGCCTTGATAGCCAAGTTTACCGTATTAGTAGTGAGCTTGTAATGCTACTGGTTTGAAAGTGGTGCAGATTTAGCAAGTGATGTATAAAACACAGTCTGAAGGAAGTGCTTTTTTGTATCCCTTAATGTTAGTTATTTAAAAGTTTTTCTACATCGATCTTCAGGTTGCCTGTGAAGAGCCTCAGTTGTATTTCTTTCCAGTCCTTAGGTTTTTAGTTTCTTTTTCTGGCCACTTTTTACTGGGTGGGATTGCTAGTAGAACATGACATGGAAGTGGTAAGTGGACATTCTTGCTTTATTTCTCATCTTAATGGGAAAACATTTATTTTGCCACTAAGTATCCTATTCATTGTTTACCTTTTGTTAGGTTGAAAAGCTTCCTATCCTAACTGGCTTGCTGATTTTTATGAAATAGTAGTTCAGCTTTTTAAAAATTGAAATAACCAATTTTTAATTTAGAATCTCTTAATATACTAATGAATTATGGTCACTGCTGGAATAAATCCCAATAATGATGTATTTCAAAGTATATTTCAAGTTTGAGTTTATTACTACCTTTTTAAGGATATTTGTTTATACTTGTCAGTTGATAGTTTTCAAGTTTTGGTGGATTTATAAAATTTGGGAAGTATTCCCATTAAAGGAAATTTTATAAGATGGATTATTTCTTTTTAAATGTTTGATTAAATTTTGGAGTTTTCTTTGTGGGAAGATTTTGATAATACATTTTATTCCTTTAAAAAATAAGGGGGTTGTATTTTCTATTTCATCTGATGTTAGTTTGGCAAATTGTATTTTTAAAAGATTGTCCACATCTAAGTTGCTCATGTTAGTATTGAACATAAAGTTGTTATTTTTAAAAGTGTTTCTTAATATTCCTTTATCCCTTTTAATTTTGCAGATTTTTTTATTACTATTCTCTTATAACTGGGATTGGTATATTATGATTTTTTTAAAATAATCTTATTAGGAATTTTTTTTCTTAGTCTTTCAAAGAGCCAAATTTATGCCTTATTAACTTAGTTTATCCTTTGTTTCCTGTGAAACTACTTTTGATCTTAGTTGTTCTTGTACTTTCTGGATTCTTTAGATAGAAACTTAGATGACTTTTTAAACTTAAAAAAATACCTAATCTCATGTATTTATCAATAATATACAGGGTCCTGATCTTGCTACACAGAGGCTATACCTCTAGACCTTTCATACACTGGTTGTTTTTGAGGTTGGGTCTCGCATTATTATGTCTGGGACTACTTTGGGCTGTGATAGTCGTACTTGTGCTTCCTGTGTTGCTAGGGATGACAGACAAGTATGGTTTCCCTGTAGTTGGGATAACAGGCACTTGCCACTGTGCCCCATGGATGAGATGGAGGAGTCTGATGGACTTCAATGCTTGTGCTGACTTTGAATCAGTGATTCTATGATCTCTGTTTCCCAAGTAGCTCGGAATTACAGGTTTGAACCCCTGCCCCTGCCTGTGTCCTATAAGTTTTGATATAATACATTTTCATTATCATTTAGTGCAGAATAGCTTCTAATGTCCCTTTTGATTTCTTTAATTCATGGGTAGAACAGTATTGTTTTATTTCAAACTATGGAATTTTGGTAATACTAGCCAATTGAAGTTTATTTTTAGTGGTTTTCCACCCTTAGATTCTGCCTTAGTTTTCTGCTATCGAGAGTATAGAGCTTTATAAAAGCTTAGTCAGAGGATTAGAAGCATAGCTTTACATGGTTGAATTCTGGTCATGAGTGAGGAAATTCTGAGACTGCGAGGTTCTGAGTTCAGTCCTCAGTACCAACAAAAAACAACAACCCCCTCCCCCCCAAAAAACAGCAAAAAAGTTGTAAGTGGGTGCCAGTGGTCATGTCTACCTATGATCCTAGCTACTCAGGAGACTGAGAATTGGAAGACTGAGGTCAGAGTATGCCAAAGTAAAAAAGTCTCTGAGAACACATCTCCCAGCAAAGTATTGGAGGATGTGGTTCATATTGTAGAGTCCAGCTGTGTGCAAAACAGGCAAGTGACAGTGTGAGGATTGAAGTCAAGCCCTACTATCATTGTAAAAGGGAAGGAGGGAGGTAGGAGAGAAAGGAAAATAAGAAAAAGAAAGAAAAAAGGAAAGGGAAAGGCAAGAAAGAAAGAGGCAGACAAGAAAGGGCAGACTTGGTCAAGGTAATAATGAGTTTTATCTTGTGTGTGTTCACTTAATGATATTTTTTCCCTCTAGTTCTGTTACTTGCTCTGAGGGTGCTACAATCTCTATACTTGGGAATTTATCTGCTTTTCTCTGTAATTCTGTCTTTTCAAAGCTTTTTATATATTTTGACACGCCATTAGTGACTGCGTTTGATTGCTGTATCTGATTGACAAACTGGCTCATTTTTCTTTTTTTCTGATACTTG